AATGATAATTAACTTTGTCTCAATTGTATTTTTACAATTATCAGAATCACTTCCTATTTTTCACTTATTTTTATAAAAGGACATCAAAACAATGAAAGCTTTCTCCCTCATTCCAGTTTTCACTGTCTTTGTGCCCAAAGTAAATTAGATGACTTATTTGTCTAAAACATTATTTTGCCACAAGAGACAGAAATAAAAGAAGGATTTCACAGTAAAAAGAAAAAACAAAAAATAAAAGCTAAATATAATAAGCACATATATCTAAATAAAAATTTAATAACTATAAATTAGGATAAATATGAAGTAATGTACATTTTAATACTCATTTTTGAAATGTATAAATAAACTCTAAATAAATAATAAGTATATAATTATATCTGAGATAGTATCTGTCATAAGTGGCCAATATCGGTTTGCTTTTTTAAGTTTTATATGTTATACTCTACTATGTATATTATTCTGTTATATCTTTTTTAAAATACAGTATTTGGGGGGAAGTTTATTCAGGTGGCTACATATAATTCTAGTTTATTCTTTACATATATGTAAATAAATTATTTTATATATCCATTCTTTCTTTAATGAACATATAGACATGTCATTTCCAATATTTTGTTCGCACACGCCAGTCTCTGTAAAAACTGTACCTAGACAACTTTATTTAAGGGAATGACATTGAATTAGTGGAATAATTAAGGATTTAGAGATTCACATATTTTACTTTCTTAGCTATTGCCACATTTTTCTCCAAATGGCATGTATTAATTTCTACTCCACCAACGGTGTATAAGAATGTCTTTTGATCCACATCCTTCCTAATATTTAGAATTGTCAGGCTTAAATTTTCTTAATTTCATAGATGTAAAATGGATTCATACTGTTTATCTTACTCCACGTTCTAAGATGTATATCCTATGATAACCAGTGTTGCTTTTAACAATTATTTTCCATTTTTTTTCCTTGCAAGCACATGATAAATCTGATTTTCCTGGTTCATTTGTGGTTACTAGGTTTCTAGTACTGGTAAGCAGTCACACAACAATGAACATATGTCAGTTCTGCTCTAGATCATTTGAGAATGCAAGCAGCTCCATTTCTCTCTGGTACTTGGTATGGCAATTGTTCCATCAACTTAGGACTCTGTGTGCCTGTGATCAGTAGACCTCTCTTGAAAAGGATATGATTAAAAAATAAGTGTTTGTTGTTTTAAGTCATTGAAATTTTGCAATTTTTCTGTCACCATAAGAAAATTCAGCTCTTTATTTGAGAATACAAGGATGTTAATCAAAATGTCCCCAATTTATAGTTTATAAAAATCTTTGATATACATTATTTTAATGCCTCCTACTAATAACTCAGTAAATGAGATATTATTCTAATTTTATGTGTATAAATACTGAGGCATAATAAGCAGAAGTCATTTCAAATTAACAATATTTTGCAACTACCCTTAGAAAACCAGTCTTTGGCATCCACATTCTATTCTCTTTTGTTTTAAAATGTTATGCTCCCCTCCCCAAATTCCTAGTTATCCTAACATCAAAAAGCCTTATAAAAGGCTTTTAAAACAGATATGATTTTCTTCTATTTCTTTTCAAAATTTATATAAAATAAGATGCTCTTTAACTATGAGTAACATTTTAATTTCCCTAGTATAAGTGTATTTGTTTCAAGTTTCATTCTACCTATAATATTGTTAGATTTAGGAGTATCTAAAATGCTAAGAAAAGGAGAATTCTCTTTGTGACAAAGGTATCAAGGAGGTTTCCCAGTGTACTCAATTATAGTATCTCCCTGAGTATGTCAATCAGTATGGCAAATTCAAGTGCTGCATTTTTTATTATGAGTAATGCTGTAAAATCTAAAGCAACAGCTATTTTTTTCTTTCAGATTTTGCCTGAAGCACAAAGTGATAAAAATAATTATAAATTAAGCAAACTTGATGTGCTGCTCAAGTTGCTGAGAGGATAAATATAGCAGACCATAATGTCATTTTTACAGTTATATTTCACACTATAACCATATACTGAGAAAAAAAAACACCATTTCTAATTGCATAGTAGCCTCGAAGGGCTTCTGGTTTTGCTAATATTGTTCAAGATGTGTAATAACTGAAAGATTTAGTAATTAAGGCTAAAAATTATTTTTTAACATTGTGAGAGCATGAAAATAAAAATTATCAGTTGCTTGATAGTTGAGTTTTATAATTACGTTTAGTGAGAAAATTATATTGTACAAACCAATATTTGTCTTCCATCCATGCATTAGCTCACTGAAAATAATAACAAAAATATATATAAGGCCAATATATATATATATATATAAAAGGCCAAATATATATATAACAATATATAAATATATACATATACATATACATATACATATATATTTGGCCAACTTTTTTATTTCTGTTCTTTCCATGAGTGAATGGGTGTTTGACCACTTTCATATTTCCACCATTGAAACTGTTGTAATAGGAGTTTATTTTCTAACTTAACTCATGATTTATTTCCATCCTTCTGAACAATAAATGCTACATCCTATCTCTTTGAGTTTGGAAAATTAGACTAAGTTCTTCCTCCTTTTGATTAGAAAAAGAATATTCATTACATTTGATATAAATTATATTATTTTAGCAATAATTACTATGCATATTTTAAAACACTGATTTAAGGGGAGAGAGAGAGAGAGAGAGAGAGAGAGAGAGATTGTTTTGTCATCCCACTTATTTATGCATTAATTGGTTGTTTCCTGTATGTGCCCTGACTGGGCATCAAACCCCAAACTTGGTGTACTGGGATGACTCTATAACCAACTTAGCTACTTGGCCAGGGCATCAATTACAATGCAGTACATACTAATGTTAGGGTACTTTAAGGTTCACAGAAAAATTGAGGGCAAAATAGAAATATTTCCCATGTAAGCACTACTGCCACATTATCCACATCTCTCAGATTGATACATTTTTAACAATTGATGACACTTGATTGATACATCATTATCCCCCAATGTCTGTAGTTTACACTATGGTTCACGCTTGGTGATGTATGTTTTATGGGTTTGAGCAAATGTAAAACAAATGATATTTATCAATTATTATATGTAGTATCATACAGAGAAGTTTTACTCCCCTAAATATCTTCCATTTTCATCTATTCATTCCTGTACTGCTCAATTCTTGGCAATCACCAATATTTTTAGTCTCCATAGTTCGGCTTTCTGAATGTCATATATTTAGAATCATATAGCATGTGGCCTTTCCAGGTTGGCTTCCTTCAGTAATATGCATAAGTTTTCCTCATGTTCTTTCATGGCTTGGTAAATCAGTTTCTTTTTTTTCTTTGACTCATTCCTGGTTCTATTTTTATTTTTAATATATTTTATTGACTATGCTATTATATTGTTCCAAATTTTTCCCCTCTTCCACTCAGTACCCTGCATTCCCACAAGCAGTCCCCCCTCCTTTAGTTTATGTCTGTGGATCATGCATATAAGTTATTTGGCTTCTCATTTTCCTGTACTGTTCTTAATATCCCCCTGTCTATTTTCTACCTACCAATTTGTATTTCTTAATCCCTGCACCTTTCCCCCTATTTTCCCCCTTTCCCCTCCCAACTGAATAGCCTCCAAATAATCTCCATATCTATGTCTGTTTTTGTTCTGCTTATTTGCTTAGTTTGTTTTTTTTCAGATCCAGTTATTGATAGTTGTGAATATATTGCCATTTTAATGTTCATAGTTTTGATCTTCTTTTCCTAAATAATTCTCTTTAATATTTTGTATAATAATGGCTTGGTGATGATGAACTCCTTTAGCTTTACCTTTTCTGGGAAGCACTTTTTCTGACCTTCATTTCTAAATGAAAGCTTTGCTGGATAGAGTAATCTAGGTTGTAAGTCTTTCCTTTGCATCAACTTGAATACTTCTTACCAGTCCCGTTTAGCCTGTAAGGTTTCTTTTGAGAAGTCATCTGAAAGTCTTATGGGAATTCCTTGGTAGGTAACCCTCTGCTTTTCTCTTGCTGCTTGTCAGATTCTCTCTTTATCTTTAACCTTTGACAGTTCAATTATGATGTGTCTTGGTGTGGTTCTCTTTGTGTGCACCTTCTTTGGGACTCTCTGTGCTTTCTAGAATTGTATATCAATTTCCTTCACCAAATTAGGGAAGTTTTCTTTCACTATTTTTTCAAATAAGTTTTCAATTTCTCGCTCTTCCTCTTCTTCTGACATCCCCATGATTTGAATGTTGGTATGTTGGAAGTTCTATAATTTTTGGATTCTTCTTTCTTGTTGCTGTTCTAGTTGAATATTTTTTCTTCCTGATATTCCAAAATATTGACTTGAATCTCAGATTCATACACTCTACTGTTGATCACCTGCAAATTTTTATTTACTTCACTCAGTGTAAACTTCATTTCTGCCTGGGTCTTTTTTATGCTCTTGAAGTAGTCAGTGAGTTCCTTGAGAAGCCCAATAACCAGTGTTTGGAATAATGCATCTGATAGATTGCTTATCTCCATTTTGTTTAGCTCTTTTTCTGGAGTTTTATACTGTCCTTCCATTTGGGCCATATTTCTTGTCTCCTCATTTTTGCAGCTCCCCCTGCCTCTGTGTTTGTTTCTATGTATTAGGTAGAGCTACTTTGATTTCTCGTCTTACTAGCATGGCCTATTGTAGAAAAGTGCACTGGTAAGTGGTAAGGGGCAGAGACTTAGGTAATTGTCAGGGCTGGGCAACTAGTGTGAAAGAGATTGATGGAGTCTCCAGTATGGTGTTGCTGTTCTTTAGCTCTGTGCAGAGGAGAGCTCAGAAAGGGGTGAATTATTGCATCTTTTAAAAGGATTAGAACAGTTTTAATGCCACCATGTGCCTATGCTCACTTCCTCTGAAATGTTAGTAATAATTATTATGTCAACATCTATATTTAATACCAGAATTTAATGTTATCTGTACTGAAATATGAAAGATTTTAATTAATGTTATTTTGCAATCCTTAATTAGGATATTGAGAAAAACATTTGTGGTAATGTGCAAGACTTATTACAATAGGAAACTCTGTTACATCATCAACACTGAATTTCCAGCTGGGCCTGCCCATGCAGTCACGTTTGTCACTGTTGACTGAAGCATGTTTGATTGGGTGAGTTGACTATTAAGTTGACAAATCACTTTATTCAAAATGTTTGATAAGTTTATATAGGCCTATATTTTTTATTCAACTAGTTCAATTGTGAAAAATTAGCAAATCAGATCATACATAAACTGTGTCAATCTAAAGTGGAATATTTTAGTAACTGTATAGTACTGGCTTCATACTTTTTACTATAACACTTTTAGTTATAAAGCACTTTTATGACTAGGTAGATTCACTTTTTCATTTATGAGTAAATCACACCATGACCTTTTAAAAATAACAAATAAATGCAATAATATGAATTAAATAAATGCTGTTTTCAAGTTTCTATCTTGATATTCTCTTTACATAAAGAAATGTGTAATTCCTTTCTAGAGGCTCTGACATTTATGAAGGTGCATAACAATAATTTTATATAAGATTAGTTCAAATTTCAAGTTCTTAAGTTTAGAAATTAAAAACATGGTCAGATTGATTACCAAAAATCCATAGAAATGGTTATTAAACATCTTAAAATTTATATTCTTCACAAGTCTCTTATGATTTCTTACTCAGTGACAGTTAATATTTAAAAAATTAAGCTGTCAAATAATCTACTTTCTGTTGTGGAATATATGTGGAATTTCCATAAAATATCTGTTTATAGGTTCAATATTTCTAATTTAATATACCAAGATAAAAAAATAACATTGCACCTGTTGTTAACAGAGAAAGAGGGTGGTCTTTGTTGTGGAATTATTTGGTAAATGTTTGTGTGTGGAGCTTGGTCCTTCCAAGACCTGAGATAACTGTTGCCAAGGTTTCCAAGGAAGGACAGAATCACCCTTACTCTGTCTATACACTCTCTGGTAATGTCTGCAGGTGGTCATTAACCACTAATGCTGAGAGTGGTCCTAAACAAGAAGAGATAAGCAAGAGCATTGAATATCCATGCTCTTTATTGTGACTCTTGCATAAACATTTAAACTCATGGAAAAACTTTTAAAAACTTCAACAATCCTATAGTTATTATATTTTGTGCATATATACGTGAGTGTATAAAATATAGATGGAAGGGCTAAGTTTTACATTTGGTGATGTTTTACATGGGAGTTATGAATTCATACTACCATTACCGCAAAGAACAGATATAAATAAAATTTATTTGGGAAAAATATATATAGAGAGAGCAGTTTCAGGGCACCTGTTACTTTCCAACTTCTACCATTTTACAGCATAAGCCAGGTGTAAATATTCTATGTAGGGCACAGTCTGTTCCAAAGGAGCATAAGCAGTACTATACACTATACTACATACTTACAGAATTATAGATTATCATAAAATGGGTTAATAACATTTAGTTTTTCAAATTAACAAGAAACCTCTAAGGAATGATTGACCTCAGAATTATGCCAAAGGAATGAGGGACAAGGGAGGTATACAGGGACTCTGGCTAAAGACTTGCTACAGGAATGAAGATATCTTGTCATATTCTTGTCTCTCTGCTGGCTGGCACAGTTTTGTTGAGTCATCTCTTTCCCAAATTGCCAAAAAGAAGATAGCGATGACGCTTTAGGGCCATCCACATTTGTCTCTTAACAAGTGATAACCCAAGGTCAGATACATGAGTTGGTGGTGTTGGAGATGATTACGAGAATGCTCTTGCTGTCATTGTAGCAAAGAATACTGGATATTTTTGTCCATTTATGGTAATTTCACCATAGAACAAAATATTCCATGCAATGTATGCATATATATATATAGGAGTTTACTTAATAGAACTATAAACTAACAAACCCAAACCTAAATTAAAGCAAAGAAAATAAATCAGTGTTATGGAATTTTCTTCATGACCTTGTAAGTTTGTTATATTTGAGGGGCTGAAATTCAGAGGGAATATATTTACCAGGATCTGTGTTTGCAGTTGTCACATGCTTGATGCCTACAGTAGCAGAAGGACTAGTGTCTTCCTGCAAAGACAAATGTTCCTAACTCTTTCTAACTTGCCAGTGTGTGTAAACCACTCATTATATAATTGTGCTATGTGTTATATAATTGTGCTACCTAAGAAATACAATACATGGGTGAGGCAAAAGTGGGTTTACAGTTGTGAGTATGTGAAACAGTTTACTCTTGTATCATTTATTAATTGTTGTATTATTTTCAATACTCACAACTGTAAATCTACTTTTGTCACACCCTGTAAAATATTCAATCATAATCTATAGTAATCTTCAAGCTGAACAAATAGCAAACAAAATGTCAATTTCACAGAGTTCCCCTGTATTCTCCCCAGCTATAGAATTATTTTTTAATTTCAAATTAATTTTTCCTTACTGTGGAGATCCTATTGAAATGTATAGCCTGGATTAAATGCCAGTTTTTTCTGTGAAGTGCTCCCTGATTCCCCACACAACAGTTTGAATTCCTTCTTTGTACTCCTTGGCATGACGGGGAAGAATAATGGTACTTCAAGTTAGCTACACTTGGGTGTGTTTAACTTAGGCTCTATTTTTGAAATTTTGATTGAAAGGATCTGTTTCTTTCTTTTATTTTTCCCTGTTATTAATGTTTTGTTTATTCTCTTTCAGGCAAATGACATAGGGTCTTTGATAACCACTGTTCACTCAACACTACAATTTCACAACTTATGATAAAGATGTATTAAAATATAACAATAAATGTGGTAATAAAATAAATATGTTCATAATGTTTTGGGTAGTTATTATTTCTATTGCATTTTTCCAGTATGATTACTCTTTCACTTCCCAAACCTTACACATCCATGTATAGACATTATATTTCTTCCTCTTTAATGTGTTGGAGTGGCCAAAAAGTTTGTTGCTTTATTTTCCCTTAGGATGGCTCCAGTAGTGTTTAGTTGTCTTTAACTTCATTTGAAGTAATTTCATTAGATACTATTATGATAGCTGCCATATCAGTGTCCATTTAAAAAAATCAAAATTGGTGAATTTTTGTGCATCCATTTTATTATTGAAGATGAAAAATATGCAGCTTTTTGACATATTATGCTTTATTTTTCAAGAAAGGTAACAACACAACTGAAATGTGAAAAAAAAAAAGATTTGTGCAGTTTATGGAGAATGTGCTGTGATTGATCAAAAATGTCAAAAGCAGTTTGCAAAGTTTCTTGGTACTATTGATATTTTGGTCAAATAAATACTTTGCTGAGGGGCTGTTCTATGCATTGTATAGAGGCAGCGCCCCTGCCCTCCACCCACTAGCAGCCAATAGCAGGAGATGGCTGACAAACCCAATATAACCAAATCAATCAAGTTACTGTTGAAAATGAAAAATGCGTCTTATATTTTACAGAAAAAAAACATAAGAGCTTTTTGGCCAACCCAGTATGTTTTGGTTAAGTGATGTAGGAATTTTTATTAATATTTATGTAAAATTTAAAATATTAGTGCTTTTTAAATGATAATTTGATGTTTTAATTTTTAATAATTTGAAGTCATTTGCCAATTACATATATGTTCAAATATATATTTAAATTATAAGATCATATATTTGAATATCCCAAAATGAAAGAAATTATGACATTGCATACTGTTACATATGGAAATGTGAAATAGTTTATTATAACATATTATGTAAGGAGTGAAAAAATTTTAAAGTTAGCCCTTTGGGAATTTTAGTTCAATTAGGTTTTAATCAACCAAATTAAAATTCAAAGAGTTTAAGTGATTTGTCAGAGTCATACATATGTTTAGTGTGTCTGTTCATAGTATTTCCTATCCAAATGTGATAAATGAGACAAAAAGGTGAAATTATTATTTCATTTATTAAAACACATTTTATAACGATATTGTGAAATTTGATAATATAACTAAACATGTAATTAAAAATTATTAAACTATTTATTGAGATAAGTACAAGTTTATTTGGCTACCATTTCAGTTAATAATTATAATAATCAATAATTATATCCGGCTAATAATTATTAAAGCTAAAAGTAATTTGTATATAAACATTTCATTTATAAAATATAAAATAAAAATTTGAGATTTATATGCTATAGTATAGGACTTTATTTTGACTACACAATTTTCTATGTAAAACAATATCTCCCAAATTTTAGTTTATGTGTATGTTTATAATATATAATTTTCTCAGAGTAAAGTTTTATATAGTCATTAGCCCTTTTTTTCCCAATTTGCAAAGTGAGTACACAGTAAACAGTAAAATTTTTAAAAAGGTTTTCCATATTGTATTAACTTAGAAAGTAAGTGTAAAGTCACTTTGATACACTGACATCACTAGAAAGATATAATTTTTCAATGAATTTAATTAAAAATTGGTATCTGTTTTATTAAATATAATAATGGCAGTCAATTAAAATAATGTTCCAAATGTGATTAATTTTTGTAGTCATATGATACATAGTTCTCACCAATATAAATGTATTTTAGACAGAATCAATCACTCATAAACAATTTGTGATTTTTTTTTTTACAAATAGTACAATATAGCAGGAACTAATCTAGGTGCTAAAGAAGCATTCTTTAAAAAATGTACTACTAATTCCAGGTTTCAAACACCTAGTATTTTTGTGGGAAAAGATCTCTCATAGTACTGTGTGTGTGTGTGTGTGTGTGTGTGTGTGTGTGTGTTAACAATTTAAATCAGAATCTAAATTTTAATACTGGTTGGAGTTAACCTGTGTTTATGTGTAGCACCAGATAGCTCTGCAGAACACTGACAAATAAAACACATCATAAAGGTACAGGTGCCTATGTAAGTGGATATCCAGGATAAATTTGTGTTTAATATACAAGAGTTATAACAAAATGAGCCTTCCAATATTTTCAAGGGGATTCATGAAAACTATCTTAGAAATGACAGAATAGCTCATTCTAAAAAAAAAACATGATGACTATTTATCATTTAGGTTAATGATAGTATTTATGTCATTATAGAGGACATTACAAAGGTTCTGTATTTTTAGGCACAAGGTTTACCATTCTCTTATCCAACAATTTTCAGCCTTTTTGCATTTGATTACACACATAAACTAATTACTAAAATTTTCAGAACACCAGAAAATATAATTTTGCTTATCTGACCAAAAAGGAAAAAGAAAATCATATAATTTTGACTTATTCACATGGGATGGCTATTGTTGTGCTGATTGTTGTCATTTTTTAAAATTTGATAATTGAAGGGAAAAGAGGTCTGTGCCCCTGACTAAAAACAGTCAAGTATTGAATGTTTTAAAATTTCTTGCAGAACAGCAGTTAAAAATTGCTGCTGTAATCTCTTGAAGTTAGGTATAGCAACTTACTACTCATAAACAGCAAAATTCATATGATTTAACATGATGAATGTCACCTCTGGGCTGAAACATTTCACTGGTGGTCAATTGGTGGTCCTCGCAAGAGAAAAGGTGTCTTAAACAATGTGGCCAGCGATGAAGAAATATTGTCTCTGCATGGTAAAAGGGGCATATTCCTCCTGAGGACCTGCATTGGGTATATATCATGAATAAGACATAGACCTTTGCTATTTTAAACAACTGAGCTCAGTGTATTGTTAGCTAATCAATAGTGAATTGTTTAAATGTAATAATATAGACACCTAAATATATATTATGATTATTATATAAAATCAACATTAAAACCCCATGACCTAAAACATGCTGCAAAATTTTGCATATATATAAAGTCAGTATTTTACCCAGATAGATGTATGATATGGGTTCTTTAGAAAGAAGTTTATCGGAGGCAATATAGGTTAATAGTGAGAAAGAAAGCAATATTAATGAATCCAATTCTTCCTTTGTTGAATAGAAGTAATGGAAAAAGAGGTACCTGGGAGCAGACACACAAATTTATGAACAAATTTACTTAGCCGGTGCATAAGTATGAAAATAACTACAGGAATTATTGCATAGACATCTTGCTGATAATCAGTCATTTTTGTAACAACTTTTCTAAAAGCAGTACAAAGCTGGCTGCTGATAACATACCTGATTCATTATTAACTATTCTTTCATACATGTTAATAATTGCTTTCAGATGAGTAATCGAGATTGCTGAAGCTTCACGAGTATATAGATAACATTGGTACTCATAATTTGGTACTCACTGGTCCCAAATTTCAGGAATTACCAGATTTTTTTCAACACATTATGAGCTAGACATGTTTTAAAAGTCTACTTATTTTATGTGTTATTTCTGATCTGTCTTATACAGATCAACAACATTAGGACTCTATTTGTAATATATTCCTATTTTTCTGAAGATTAAATAGATTATGTTCCCCTCCTCCAAATTCTACTGCACAAAAATCTGAGTTTCTTTACTGTTTGATATAATAGCAAAAGTAAGGAAGAAAATCATGGAACCAAATATAGATGAAGCATACAACACAGATGAAAAAGGAGAAAAATCACCTCCTAGGAAGGAAATGCTCAAAATGCATTAGATTTAAACATTAAATATGTTATTTAAGTTTCTTAAACATGCTGATAAAATTAGACAAGGAACAGCTCTGTTACATATTTCAACTTGTTTTCATAAAGTAATAACTATTGTAAATGGAGTGAAGTTTTAAAAATCATAGACAAGCTTTTGTTGTTTCTTTTCATAACTGTAAGACCTATTTATAAGAATAGAGGTTATGCAAGAGATTTTTCTTTTTTTTATTGGAGCACATTTATGGGAAATTTAATCTATTAGACAACTAAGAGAATCAGATCATAAAATGTATTTAACTGAACGTGATACACAAATGTGTGAAACATAAAGCAAAGAATTATCTGACGTTTGGATGATGAGTCTATAGGTGGCTCAGATAAAAACATAATGTTGAAAAATTACATTGACAAAATATTTTGCCAGTTGAAACTATGCTTTTATTTTATGTGACTGCATATAAAGTACATTATAAAGATTAGGTATTAGTCAAATATCTGTCCTATAGACATTTACATTAACTTTTTACTGAAAAATTCTAATATTAAATATTGTATATTGTTATGGAAACAAGTTAATGTATGCATTGTAACACTATTTATAGTAACAAAAATCTAGATATGATGTATTATAATGTTCAATGAAAATATATATCTCTCTAAACTATAGAAAAATATAGAAATTTTAAAAGAATGATAGAAAAATATCTTAGAAGAGAAAATAATATGATTTCCTTAGTTTCTATGTACATTTACATGTTATATTTACATCTATATATATTAACTCATTTATACATTTCAATAAAAATCTGAAAGAATATGGTTTAGACAGATATTGGTTTGAAAATGTGGAAAGAGAAATTAATTTATATTTTTATATTTATGTCAATCTTTAGATTTAATTATTGTGGTTATAATTCAAAACATTTATTTTTAGAACCTTACCTTGTATTTATAGTCATTCACTAATTTATCTAACTAATAAACAATGACCATATGTATATCACATACCAGTTGCTTTTTCAGGAAGCAGAATCTGAAAACAAATAATACTTCTCCTTAACGGAGTGAATTTTATTTTCCAAAAGAGGATGTGTTTAGTACTAATCCCCAGTTCTTCAGAAAGTGACTCTATTGTGAAATATGGTTGTTTCAGACTTAACCAAAATAAGATAAGGTAATTACAGTGGGTTATAATCCAATATAACTGGAAAAGGGGAAAATTTAGACAC